CGGCTTTTGCTTGAGGCCAATGCGGACAAGGACAAGACATTGGAAGATGGCGCCACTCCTCTGTACATGGCAGCTCAGAATGGGCAGTTGCAGGTTGCGCGGCTTTTGCTTAAAGCCAATGCAGATAAGGATAAAGCTAAGCAGAATGGCGCCACTCCTTTGTTCGTCGCAGCTCAGACTGGACAGTTGGAGGTTGCACGGCTTTTGCTTGAGGCCCATGCGGATAAGGACAAGGCATTAAAAGGTGGCGCCACTCCTCTGTACATCGCAGCTCAGAAAGGACAGTTGGAGGTTGCGCGGCTTTTGCAGGAGTCCATCGTGGACAGGTTTGAAGCTATCGAAAACGGTGGAGTTGGGAATTGACCGCTTTCCGGACCAGTGACAAAAGCTTATATAGAGGATCTTGTAAAGAGTCAAGAACCATATGAACTGTTCAAAGCCTAATTAATAGTCATACTTAATAGTCATATGAACTGTTCAAAGCCTAATTAGTAGTCATACTTAATAGTCATATGAACTGTTCAAAGCCTAATTAATAGTCATACTTAATAGTCATATGAACTGTTCAAAGCCTAATTAGTAGTCATACGTAATAGGCATATGAATTGTTCAAAGCCTAACTAATAGTCATACTTAATAGTCATATGGACTGTTCAAAGCCTAACTAGTAGCCATACTTAATAGTCATATGAACTGTTCAAAGCCTAATTAATAGTCATACTTAATAATCATATGAGCTGTTCAAAGCCGAATTAATAGTCAACAAGAAAGCCTATAAGCTCCTTCTTTTACATGCCACCTGAACGTTACTCCTGCATGCGGAAGCTCAGACTGTCGATCCCTGACATCCTCAGACTACGAAGCCTGAAGCCAGAAGCTCTTACCTGAAGGACGAAAAGAGCCCTAAAAGGGTTTAGGGTTCATATACCATATAGGGATTCATAGTATAAGGGTATAGCGCCCCTACTNNCCTACTTTTAAGGTTCTTTTCGTCCAGGTCTTGGACTTGGGCGAAAAAGCCTACGTACCCGTAAGGGTCCAAGTAGTCTGTACTCATGGTTTCTGATACCCAAAAACAAAAAGGCCCCAAAGTCCTACAGAATGATGAGTCCTTGGACCCCTAGCGTACTGCTGTTAGAGGTCATACCCTGCAACTGAAGGGTCGTAGCCTACTATTCACTAGGACCTTGGATTACATGGAAGCCCTATAGCATATACGTCCTGATCGTTTATTTCTAAGCCCTGCTCGAAGGACGGGGGGACTTCGTAGGTGCATAGTTACTCCGTATGGGTGTTCTAGTGTTTGTAAGCTTACTTGTTCCAAACCTATGCTAAACGACGTCGAACATGGAGGCATAGTGTTCGATAGTATCGCCGTATCGCCCCAATAAAGTCATTATTATCCTCACAGAATTTAGCCCCCAAATTCCGGGAGATGTCAGAAATTATCCGAAACCCTTCAGCCTGAACCCTGAAACTGTAAGCTCTGAAGCCTTAAAAGCCCGAAGCCTCTACCGGATGGAGGCTTCAATCTCGAAGCCCCATAAATCCTAACCCTCCATTGCCTTCAAGCCCTGGCTTAGGGTTTCGGGTGAAAGCACGACTTGTAGGGTTTAGGGTTTTGAGCCCGAAAACCCTACCTCAACTCATCGCATCGCTATCTCAGACACCCCGTGACTGGGCGGCAGAGCTCGCGCAGGCTGGCTCCAACTTTCCTAGAGACGAGTTACAAGGGTTTAGGGTTCAGGGTNNGGTTTAGGGGTTTAGGGTAGGGTTGGGGGTTTGCTTTAAGTTGTAGGACTGAGTAAACCCGGGTAATTCAGGGATTTGGGTCTGAGGAATTTAGGGTTTTATGAACTCTAAACCCTAAACCTTCCGTTTTCGGGGGTGTGACTTTATTATGTCGGGACACAGGTCTTGTACATTTCTGAGCTACGGCCTCTTTTCGGGTCTCCAGCTAAGACGGCGAGGCCTTTCGATCCATGTTAGCGGTGTAGGATTGAGGGTGTCCACGCCCAATCCGACCAAAGTCCCTTGATCAATGAAAAGATCTTCAAGTGTAGTCCGACCCCGAACGTGATGTTTCGGTATATTCCGGAATTTAAGGATTCTGGATGGTCTGGGCGGACAGTGTGCAATAAGCTCGAGGGGTGGATTGTTTGGGCTATTGGCGCTTGTTGCTGAACTGTAAAACACATTGGTTTTGAGGAGGTTGCATGGGAATGAAGATGCTTAACAAGGAGGGCAGTAGCCTTAGGGCAAGAGGCAAAATATGGCTGATGATCTAAATCCTGCATTACACAAATAATAAGGAACATGCCCTATTTCCCATAGTTTAGGGTCCTTAAGGTACTGCAGCATTTATATCATCAACCGTCGTGATCAACAAAATCTTCTTTTGGGGGGGGGGGTGTGCCGATAAGCGTTCAGGACCCAGCAGCTTACCGGGCGATGGTACTACGAGGTTTCTTTTTAGGGATCGGGCTTTGAAGATCGATAGCGGTGAACCTGGACTCTTAGAGCTCAAGCAATTCGATTTGGGGGACCTACATGCGAACTTGACCCTACCCTAGACCCCTAAACCCCTAAACCAAGCACACACCCCTACACCCTTAAGCCCGAAACCCCAAACCTAGACTCCTAAACCCTTCAGCCCGAAGCCCTAAGCCCTAAACTAGAGCCCTAGACCCCTAAGCCCGAAGCCCTAAACCCTAAAACTAAACCCCTAAACCCCTAAACCTTACACCCTAATAGCCCTAAGCCCTAAACCTAGACCCCTAAACCCCTACCCCTAAACCCGAAGCCCTAATAGCCCTTAACCCTAAACCTAGACCCCTAAACCCTTAAACCTTACACCCTAAGCCAAAAACACCAAATCTCCCTGAACCCCACATCCCACATCCTAATCCCTACAGAGGGCCAGCACTCAACTCTGGACCCCTAAACCCCTAAACCCCTAAACCCGACACCAGACATCTTAAACATCCCTCTTAACCCTCCATCCCAAACCCTACCCTAAGGCTCAAAGTGGCCCAAAAGCCTTTTATAGTTTGGTCTTTGGCCCCAAAAGCCTGAAAATATGAGTCCCTATAAAGCCTCAGGGCTAGAGAGGGCCCAGTAAAAACGAAAGGCGCCAGACCTTCGTCGGGACTCTCTGCGTGCCCGGGGCCCTTGGGGATTTAGGGTTTAGGGTTCAGGGTTTGGGGTTTAGGGTTTAGGGTTTAGGGGACAGATGGAGATGCCCTAGCCTTGGGGTTGGGCGTTTCTGGTAAAGGTTCACAGCTTTAGTCGTTGTTGTTCTTCCTTTCTAAGGGTTCAGAGTTCAGAGTCTAGTAATTAGTTTGTTTTGTTGTTGTTCAGGGTTCACAGAGTTTAGTTGTTTATTTTATGTTTAAGGTTTCGGCTGTGTTATTCTTCAGTTTTTGGTGGGTTTACAGTAGGATGTTGAAGGGTTTGGGGGTTTGGGGAGAACCTCCTTTACAGGCGTCTATCATTTCTAGGGGCTACTGTAAGGGTTATCATCAAGCAAGTTGTTATACAAGTTTAACATGGCCGCTTTATTAGGTAGAATAAGGGTGTTGGGGTATGCTATACTAATTAAGTATACGAGGAACCTTATGGAATAGTAATGGCAACTATACAGGCTTCTTTAATTTAGGGTGTAGGGTTTTCATGGCTTTAGGGTTGTGCCGTTTACAGCATCAGATACCCTACACTGTCAAACCCTGTCATTCCCCTTGCTGGTTCGATGACATAGGCTTTGCTTTGAAGGGTCGTCGACGAAAACGATATCGGTTCATACCCTAAGGCTAAGGCCCTAAACCCTAAACCCTAAAACCTAGGGCCTAAGCCATCAGTTTTGTTTCAACCCTGAACCCGACTGGCACTCTTCTACCCTACGCACTCGAAGCCCTGAATATGAAGAATATCCCACTTGAAGCCCTTAAACCTGGATAGTCCGTTAAATAATGGGTACCACAATATATAGGGTTTTTGTAACAATAGCCGACTGCACTCGGCGTTTCGGGATTTCCCGTAGACAACAGCACTTCAGGCAATGCATGATTTGGTCGAGCCGTATGTTGGGGCAGGATTGCTATGCATGATAAGCTCGGCCTAAATTCCATGCACTTCGGACTTAAGCTCAACGCCCAAATGCTGAGTAGGTAGAAGCAGCAATGCTGAGTTATGGCAGAAAGTACCTCACAACCTTGTTCTCTTTACTAAGGCCACCACACTATCCCTTAGTACCGGTATGGTGGTTACTCACCCAAACCCAAATACTGTTGATGATGTAAATCCTGCATTGTTTTAAGGACTCAAACTATATGAGCTATGGTGGATTCCTTATTTTGGGTAATGCAGGATTTAGATCATCAGCAGTACTTCCTACTATTACCTGCTCCCTAAACCCTAAACCCAAACCCCTAAACCCCTGAACCCCTAAAACCCCTAAACCCCTAAACCCCTGAACCCCCTAAAACCCCTAAACCCTAAAACCCTAAACCCTCTACTATGCAAGTACCCAGGGTCCTCGGGTCCTAGCTCCTAGCCTTTGAGTGCCGAAGACGGCGGTGCACGCTGAATGTAATCTAGGGGGTTTAGGGCTTTAGGGTTTAGGGGTTTAGGGGATTTAGGGTTTAGGGTTTTGGGTTTTAGGGTTTAGGGTTTAGGGGTTGGGGTGTAGAGTTTAGGGTTAAGGTTTCAGGGTTTAGGGTAGGGTCCTTCAAAGGGATCCTGAAGAGGTTCTCTAAGGGATCTATCATCGAGTTCTATATTAGGGGCCTGAATAACGGCTTAGGGTTTAGAGTTTTGGGATCAGGGGCCTTTTTTTCTAGAATAGGGTTTTGGGGGTTCCTTATTGTAATGTTAGTATAATCCACCTCAGAACCCTAGTCTAATTATGAAGACCCCTACATTACAGCTGCATGGTTTCATGCCCCTTGGTCGGAGCACATACGCGACATGTTCACAAAGTACGACTGAGCTAGTAGCTGATCCATTCGTATTTATCAATATAACTTCGCACTTGGGGGGGGGAATACTATGAGCCCCGATGTATGTGAAAGTTCATTTTTTGGGGGGAGCGGTGGGGCTTATGAACTCGGCACTCAGGCTCAGTTATGTCAATAATAATTACGTTAGACAAAACCAAACCCTCAGACCCTCAACACGAAACCCACAAGCCATGCAATAAAGAGCAGGTAGTGACTGATCAGTCGTTCAGACATCCCACAGATGGGTGGCACAGTTGCAAGACGAATGCGACCTCGAGTCGAGTCAGTAACAGCCAGACAGTGGAGGTTGCCCCAACTCCTTCCTGTCTCGCTAAGTTTGTAGGTCCTTTGTCTTGAGTTTTCTATATCGATACAAAAGCCCAGCGCGAAAGAAAGAGGGCGCACGACTCCAATGCCCAGAGACTGAGAGAGAGAGAGAGACAGAGAGAGAGAGAGGGAGAGAGAGAGAGAGGGCCAGAGAAAGGCCGCTGCCCAGAAGGTTTGAACCGTACTCCATCACACACGCTGCACAGCATCATGGTAGAATCCTAAACTACACCCGGCTAGCAACAGTACAGCTAGAACGAAAGACCTGTAGACGTGTCACACTCATCGGGTCAAGTTAAAGCAACGCACGAGCACAGTATCAGAACTAGTGAATTGGTCGGATTTGTGTGAGAGGTTGCTAACAGCTCATGTTCCACTCAACTTGTTTGTACGTACGTATGTAGGTATGTATGCACGTATGTATGTGTGTCTGTACATATGTACGTACGTGCGTACGTGTGTATGTATGTATGTATGTATGTGTTCACATATGCATATGTGTGTGTGCATGAGCCCATACACACGTGTGTATATATTTAATATATATATATATACATACATACATACACACATACATAGATACATATATCACATATACGTGTATATGCATATGTATATCGGCAACTATCCATTAGCATCAAAATCGCCCAAAAGCCTTATGTAATAGGGTCTTTGGGCCCAAAAGCCATAACATATGAGTCCTTTGATGGTAAGGGTATCATTCGAAGATTGTCTTTCCAGGCTGTGGCCGTGAAAGTCCTCGGCGTTGTACAAGTCTGGCCGAGATCTCAGTTCACATTCCCTAGGGGTCCATGTACCCAAATAGTATATACTTTGGCCTTAAAGTAGTCCCTATGTAGGTACTTTGGGGCCAATGTATATACTACATGAGTACATGGACCCTTAGGGATTGGCAAATATCCACGGGTTTAGGGTTCCTTCGCTGTTGAGGTTGTGGCAGCTGAAGCTAAGGGCTTTATGTAGGGGGTTTTTGGGGTTTAGGAAATGGGGGGGGGGTGAAGTTTGAGGGATTGTGGGTTCAAGAAGGTTAGGTTGAAGGTGAAGAAGCTTAATTAACCGAGTGGGTTGTAAGTTGTAGATTGTAGATTGTTAGTGCGGCCACCCCAATTAACAAGGGGACTTATGACTGTTATACTTACGAAGCCCCGTGATGCTTCAACAAGTATTAGGCCCTTAGGGGTTTAAGGGCGGGTTTTGGTTGTAGGTTAGCTATGCGGAGGTCTTGCAGTGTTGCCTTGCGAGTTTTACAGCAAGCTTCCCAGCATTCCAACGGTAACAAAACACGCGACCAGACGAAACCTTACGCAATGCCGCAAACTGTGAACCAGACCCCGGCAAACAGATGTAGTAGCACAAGCCATTATTTGTTTTCGGGTTTGGGGGTTTAGGATTAGCACAAGCCGTTCTGTGTTTAGGGTTGAAGGTGTAGGGCCAGTGTAGGGTTTAGAGTTAGCACAAGCCATTTTTATAACATCCCTACGAAGCATCCCAAAATCAAGATACGCTGTTACACAAATCCTGGAAGTCCCTCAGTTCGGAATTGATTCCAAAGTCATAAGGAGGAGCCTTGTATTTGTCAGGTATGTTCCTTAGTTGAGGGCCTCAACGCCAGCTAATCCCTAGACAAGTTCCCCAGACAATGGGGCTCCGAACAGTCCAACGAACCCAAAGTAGGCATTATTTACAGACCTCAGACCCCTAAAGTAGGTAGGTGTTGTTTATAGGCCTTATGTCAAACATTTGTTTGTTCACCGCCAAACGTTACTTCTCAGACCCCAAAGGGTAGGTGGCGTTTGTGTACTTGGAGCGCTAGGGCAGCGGCTTCCTTCTGAAACCCTAAACCCTAAACCCTAAATCCTAAATCCTAAACCCCTGAAGCCCTAAACCCTAAACCCTATACTCTAAATCCTAAACCCTAAAACCCTAAACCCTCAACCCCTAAATCCTAAACCCTCAACCCTAAAGCCCTAAATCCTAAAACCCTAAACCCTCAACCCCTAAATCTTAAAACCCTAAACCCTCAACCCCTAAATCCTAAAACCCTAAACCGAGGCTGGCCAGGAAAGGCTTCAGCTGCCCTGGGCCTTCCTCCCCTGAGGTTTTGAGGGGTTTGGGGTGTAGTGGTGTAGGGAGGTTTAGGGATTTTGGGATTTAGGGGTTTGGGGTTTAGGGTTTAGGGGTTTAGGGGTTTAGTGCTTTGGGGTTTAGGGTTTAGGGGTTTAGTGGTGTAGGGAGGTTTAGAGTTTAGCGTTTAGGGTTTAGGGTTTAGTGTAGGGAGATTTTAGGGTTTATGGTTTAGAGTTTAGGGTTTAAGGTTCAGGGGTTTAGGGTTTAGTGGTGTAGGGAGGTTTAGGGGTTTAGGGATGCAAGGTTTGGGGTTCAGGGCTTAAGGGGCTGAGGGAAGTCGAGGGGGTGAAAGATTCGGAGGGAAGCTTTGGGGCTGAAAGGGTTTGGGTTTAGGGTTTAGGGTTTAGGGTTTAGGGTTTGGAGTTTGGAGTATTTTGTAGTTGAAGAGGGCATACGGCTTAGGCTTAAGTTAGGGGCCAAGGGGTTGGGGTGTTTAGGGGCCAGGGCTTACCTAATCCCTTCAAAATCTCAAAACCAGGTAAAAATAACGTCCCGGCACGTATGCAAGGCTGTTATTCGGCTCCAGGTAGCGCTAAGTTTTACGGGTCTGGATCCTAAACCCTTATAAACCCTAAACGCTCAACCCTAAACCCTAAACCGCTAAACCCCTAAACCCTAAACCCTAAACCGGCCTCGGGCCCGGTGCTTCTGGAGTTCTGGGAGAGTTAGGGCTTCGAGAGAGTCAGAGTTGGGTTTAGGGTTTAGGGTTTTGAGGCTAGGGTTCAGGGTTAATATAGGGGCCTAATGATTACCTATACTATTTTGGGGGTTCTTTATTGTAAGTGCAGTATAATGGGCCCCAAAAACCTACTCTAATTAGGAAGGCCCCTTTATTAGGGTGTATGGTATTAGTTCCGAGTCAGGGTTGAGGGTTTGGGGTTTAGGGTTTAGGGGGGTTCACAGTCTTGAACTGTACTTGATGTTTTCAGTTTGATGAACTTGTAGTATAGTGGGCCCCGAAACCTTATCCTAATTAATAAGGCCTCTATACCCTAAACCCTTTATAGCAGCCCTTGTAGTATCCCTTTAAGGGGCCCCTATACGTCGCCAGGAATTGGTGTTAGGACGTGAATTTCGGCTGTATTTAGGTTATCAGTTTGGGGTCTCAGGAGCCCAGAAGCAAACCCCAACACAAAGCATCAGGGTTTAGGGTTTAGGGTTTAGTAAGCATGAATGAGATAATCATACTACTCCTCAGGGTGTCTTGTCACAGTTTCGCTTTTGTATTAACCCCTGAGAGTGACCCTTGTAACACTTGTAGTAGCTTTATAACACGAATCACAGGAGCCCCTAAACGGAAGAGGGACCCTTAATAGGGACCCTTAATCCCATTACCTTGAATAACCATTGTATAGTCCTTATATACCCCTTATATAGCCAGGTAGTCTTCATATTAACCCCATCCCTAACCCTAAACCCTAAACCCTAAACCCTACAAGGGTCCCTATTACGGGTCCCTCCTAAATCCCTTAGATTCTTTCGCACTGGAACTCTGGGGCTTGGCCCCTAAGCCCCATAAACTTTCAACCAGATACTTCATTATAAACCCGAAACCATGTAAGCCCTTAAGTTCAGGGCTCTCCAAAGAGCCCTGAACTTTACAACCCCTAAGTCAAAGGAAGCTACAGGTGGGGAGTTTAGGGTATATCGGGCTTCTATAAGGCTTCCATAACGCATATATTAGACCTTGTATAAGGCTCCCATAATGGTAACTACCCACCTGAAAATGTCCTAGACTAAGCCCTAAAAGCCCTCAACGCCCTAAGCCCTAAACCCTAAACCCTAAACCCTAGACCCTAAACCCTAAACCCTAGACCCTAAACCCTAGACCCTAAACCCTAAACCCTAAACCCCAAAACCCACGAGCCGCTCCCCCGATCTCGAAGGCCTGGGCGACGCTCTTCCAGAGCGTGGACTTTGCCGGCCATGGCAAGCTGAGCTACCCCGCCTTTCAGGCCGGCTCTAAGATCTCAGGGTTTCGGGGTTTAGGATTTAGGGTTTAGGGTTGAGGGTTGAGGGGTTTAGGGGTTTAGGGGTTTAGGGGTTTTGGGTTTAGGGGTTTCAGTTCAAGGCTCTTGGGTACGTGTTTGGATCGGTGTTTTTTTTGGGACCTCCAAAACCTTAAATCTTACTAGGGTTCCTACTCTAATTAAAGGTATATTCCTGAATTAAAGGGTTTTGGAGTCTCTGGGAAGCAGATCTTTCTGGCTTAGCTTCTGAGAGCAGCAGGTTTTGGGGTTTAGGGATGAATCTTGGAACCGTAAGGGACCGAGTTCGTTCCTCAGGGCCGGATGAAGGCTCTTTAAACGGCTTCCTTGCCAGGCTTGTTCTCGGTTTTGTAGTTTCTGGTGTTTACAATTTTTGGGTTGTGGTTTGAGGTTTGGGTATGTAGGGTTTAGGGTTTAGGGTTTAGGGCTTTGGTTTTTGCCATCACTTCTTGCCATGATGTCCCCAAACCACCAGCCCCAAAGCCTCAGCCCTAAGCCTAAGGGGCTCTTGCTCAGGAACTTCAATTCAAGCTGCCTTGATAGGGAGATCTAACACATAATTAGCCTGCTGCCTTCATTTATGATAAGCCCCAAACCCTAAACGCTGATCCCTAAACCCTAAACCCTAAACCCTAATCCCTAAACCCTAATCCCTAAACTCTTGATGAGGAGACCCCCCAAAGAAATCGGGTCTTTCTGGGCGACCTTTACACTCCCACTCTACATTCCCAGGGCAATCCGACACCCGTAAACCCGTCATCCCTTAACCCTATTCCAGCTACGCCCTTAAGCCTTAAACCCTATATAAACCTTCATAAGGCTTTAAGGGCTCATATCTAAGGCTTCAAGGCCCAAAGATCATGCCATAGAAGGCTTTTGGGCTATTTTGAGGCTTAGGGTAAAAGTAGCCACCACCCAGTAGCTTATTGTGTAAGTAACTGGGTAGGATTCCTGCGTCCGATCAGGCAGCCGTGCTTGATCGCATGAAGGGCCGCGGCCGCGTGCCTGTGGCCTCAGCGGGTGGGTGTAAAGAATGATTTCATAAAGTGGTTTGAATAAGTAGTCGTAGTAACCGTAGTATCCCTCCATAATGCCTAGATGTGGTAATGGCCATCAGACACTCCTCTGACTCTATTCTAATTCCCCCTAAACCCTAAACCCCT